TTGAGAGATTTATTGAACATCTTCTATGTGTCAGGTTAAGTGCTTTACACATACTATTTTATTATTATTGAATCCTTAAAACATCATTATTAAGGATATATAATAATATTGACATTTATGAATGAGGACAATGAGGCTCAGAATGGTCAGTACAAGCTGAGGTTTTAACCTAGCTGTTTGACTCAAAGGCTATGCTCTCTCTCTTTAAAAATTCTTTATTGATTTCCATGAGGAAGGGAGAGGGAGAGAGATAGAAACATTAATGAGAGAGAATCATTAATTGGCTGCCTCTTGCATGCCCCCCATTGGGGATTCAGCCCATAACCCTGGGCATGTGCCCTGACTGGAAACCAAACCATGACCTCCTGGTTCATAGGTCGACGCTCAACCACTGAGCAACACCAGCCTGGCAGAGCTATGTTCTCTTAACAGCACACTGCCATCCCCAAATTAAATGCAGCTAAAAAAAAGGCAGCATTGGGGCTGCACCTCCAGAGGGGATGATATGAGGGGTGATATAAGCAAAGCATCAGGAAAGTCACAAGGCAACATGAACTGCATCCTAGTACAGCATTTCTCAAATTGTTAACAAACAGATGAATCATATGAGGATGTTGTTCATTGCAGAGCGTGATACAGTAGGTTTGGGCGGGGCCTGGGATCCTGCTATTCTAACAGCTCTCTAGTAAAGGCAATGTTGCGGAGCCAGAGACCACACTTCTAGGAATCAAGAGCTAATGCCCAATGACTGAGTCAGCACCGTGGACAGCAGAACAGGTGTTCTACCACCATCACCTTCTCTGCCATTTCATTCAAATCCCTTTAATATCCTCTGTGATATGATTATGGCGACAAAACACATAGTCAGGAATTTTTAAAATTACTTTTTGGATTGCTATCACCTTGCGTTCACGCAGGTATAAATCTGTCTAGAGAAGAGAACTGGGGCTTAGAGAGGGTGGAGGTGCCCCTCTGGCATTTTAAAAAAAGTATGCTTCCAGTGAACCTTGGGTAAAAAGAATTTAATCAACTTTATTATTGAATAAGGAAGTTGATACAGAACTCATAAAATATTTGTTATATTACAAGATTCAATATTATAAAATATCTACTTGAGAAGAGTAGCACTCTAACTTGCACATGTGATGAACAGAAATTAGCAACATCTCTCCTTAAAACAATCGTTATTGTTGAAAGTATTACATATCTGCTGCTAAATCTAATATTAGTCAATTGCACATGAGAGAGAAATGATTAAAAATATGTCAAAGTGCTAGTCAAAATCAGAGTGAAACAAAAATGCCCTTAAAATTTTATTTTAAAATGTGTTTCTGTTCCCTTTTTCTTTCTCCTGTATTCCTTCCACCAAATTCTATATTTTAAGGACAAAACCAGACAGATCATTTTCTTTGAGTGACATTGTTTTTATTTACTCCCTAGTTTGAAACAGCAACTATGGCTGCCAGCAGAGATACCTCCGGGTTTTAAGACTATCAATCTATTTCACAGCTGGAACAAAAGAATTCAGATAAGAGTCTGGCAAACAATTTAACTTGTTTTCCTTTGAAGATATTTTTTATTTTCTGGTTGAGGACCCTCTTCTCAAGTCTGGAGAAGCTATGGGCTACACTTATGGCAAAAGAAAATGGGTATAATCCCAGGTAAATTTTCCAATAGGCCTTCCTTCCCTTAGCCTCATTGCATCATTTAGTTAAGAATACATACTGTTTTTCATTCCAATGGATATTTTCAAACTTAATTCATTAACATTTTTTATATTTATAGTGTACCAAGATAAAAATGTTGATCATATTTCAACATTTTTCTTAAATTTATTCTTGATTCCAGAGGAAGAGTCTTCTTTTTTACTATGTTAATAGGATTCAAACAAGTTTTGTGCATGTGTAACTACATGTTGAGAATTTATGTCACAGGTAAACAGTTTTATATGTATTATTTCATTCAATTTGCACAAAGCCCTTTGAAATGGGTCCTTGTTTTTACTTAAGGGATGGGAGAAACAAGGCTGGAAGTCCCTGTTAGTAGGTAGTTGAGCCTGAATCACTGGAAGGAGTGCTCTCTTTTCTCTGCGCACTCTTATAAGATGTGCTTGTTCTGGCGGAAATTTACACATCTCAGAAGGATACACCAGAAAATATTATGTGTGAAGTGCAATGCAGCTGGATGGTGAGAGGTCTCATCCATTACTTTAAAAATGGATATGGAGCTAAATTCAGAATCTATTAGACATGGTATATTCACTGGGATTTTTTTCGATGGAGAGATGCTGGCCTAAAGCAGATATTAAATACATAATTTACCTGAGCTTGCCTTGAGCACTCCTTGGCAGGGAAGAATTTATAATTAATATCTCAAGATCTGCTTGGTCTACTGAATTGTAGATAGTCCTCTATTTAGAGGACATGTTACCCTAATCTTTTCTGAGATGAATAGTAATTATTTTTGAAAGAAACGTAAATAATTCCCTTTTGGTAGTCTGATGTAGTTCATCTTTCTGCTGCTTCTTTTATGCCTGAATCACTGAAATCTAAGTTTAGAAATGAGGAATCATCAATATCTGTGGCCATAGAATGTGCTAATTCTTCCTTTCATCAGTCACTCTGTGAGGAAGGCTCAGTCATTCAATGTCTAAATGGTTAGATACCCATCTTAAATATTTCACTGCTTGTCTTAGATAAGATGCCTTGTCTAATGATCTGTAAGGACACTAGGAGCCTGTTCGTCATCCTGGGAAGCTAGTGATCCTAACCAGGAGGTGTCCACTCTCAGGCGCTTTATAGGAAAAGGTGGCTTCAGGGTATTTCTTTAAAAAAAAATTTTTTTTTTAAAAATATTTTATTGATTTTTTACAGAGAGGAAGGGAGAGAGATAGAGAGTTAGAAACATCGATGAGAGAGAAACATCGATCAGCTGCCTCCTGCACATCCCCTATGGGGATATGCCCGCAACCCAGGTACATGCCCTTGACCGGAATCGAACCCGGGACCCTTCAGCCCGCAGGCCAACGCCCTATCCACTGAGCCAAACCGGCTTCGGCAACTTCAAGGTATTTCTTTAAAAGATGTACAGGCTACAACTGGAAGCAGGGCCTGGTGGAATCACAATCCTTTGACTGGATGCCTGGACAAATGTGTAAGGAAACCTGAGAGCTCAGCAGGTGGCTGTGGGCTCAGATGTACTAGATGCAGGTGAGGTAACATTAAGCTACAGATGGTTTATAGCTGTGACTCATTTCTCCACCTCCCGCCCTTTAGTTTTTTTCTTTTTAACATGTGGATTGTGAAATTTTTACTCAAAGGGCCAATTTTCCAAATGTTTCTAGTCAAGATTGTACCACAAGCAATCCATTTCTACAGTCTCTTATCTGATTTCCAAGATTTTTTTTTTTTTTTAATGTGGAAAGTTTTGCATGGAATTCTGCCCCACCTCTCAATCTCACTCCCATTCCCCTCCCTCCCTCCCTCATACATTTCCCTTCGCCAGAAACAAACTCCTCTTAGAAATATTTTTCACATCTCTAGATTTATTTCTATTGTTTAAAATTTAATCTCTGATAATAAAATAACTATATAGAAAAAAAGAGCCTAACAGATCATACATTGAAATACACAAATACACTGCACCAGAATGTTACACTTGCCCTCTGGTCCACCACCTAAAATACATTGAGGAGACGCACAAGGAAGGGCACACCCCACCCCCAAGCGCTGGGAGCTGGGACTGGTGTGCTCTGATGCTCTGTGGCGGGCTTGGAAGAGCCCTTATTCCAGTTTTACATGAAACTTTACTTGCTGAATTGACCTGCGTATATACAATCATCATTTCTGTCTCTGTCCAGTCGGAGGTAACCATCATAATGGTTTACTCTGTGAATGGGGCACAGTCTCCACTCAGTGGCTGTCTGGGGGTAAGAGGAGTAACTTGTATCCCTCATTGGCTTTGATGTTTGGAGCTGAACCTCACCACTGTCCGTGGAAGCCCTCAGCGATCCAGTTCATCCTCTTCGTCCCTGCCGCCTGTTGGGAGCCCCTTTCCGGGCCAGACCGCGGTTGATCATCGCGCGCTTCGAGGTGGGGAGGGAGGTCCACAGCGTCGCGAGGGGCCGGTGAGGCTCCGCTCGCGCAGCGCCCGCTCAGCCCGCCAGGGGGACCCCGCCCCGCCCAGGCGGCGTCTGATAAGAAAGACGGAGAGGCGTGGAGCGGAGGCGCCTGCTCCGGGAAAACCGGGATCTGCCGGGGCTCCGCTACTGCTCGGGGACACCGGCGGGGCCGGGTCCACGGCTCTCCGGGGCCCGGGGTCCACGGCAGAAAGGGCGCGCCCCGCGGTGGGTGTGTCCGTTTCCACCCTCTGGCCTTCCAGCCCGGAGGAGAGCTCCTGCAAGCGGGTATTTTCTTCCCAAAGACAGGTTTTTGTCTGCGGTGACCCCGGCTTTAGAAGTGCAACTTTGCGGCTGGGGCGCGGGGCTGGGGCTGGGGGTCCTGGAAGAGGAGGAGCGGACCTGGTCTGCATCCGCCAGGAGGGGGCGGGCCGCCAGAGTGGGGGAGGCAGGGCCGGGGGAGTGCCCAGGGGTCGCGGGGGGCGGCGAGATGGGCTCCCACCCGGGCGGCGGGCCGGTGGCCACGCTCCTGGAAGCCCGCCCCGCGCCCTGACCCCACCCGCCTCTTAGGTTTCGCCGGATCCATCAGGGACCCAGCAGAAAACTTTTCCCTTCCCCAGCCCCGGCTCCCTTTTGTCTTTCTTGGCGGCGGCGACGCCTGAGCTGCGAGCCCCGGTCCCCGGCCCAGCGCGCCGCGCCTGGTGACCACCGAGGGCAGGAGCGCTGGGATTCCGGGTGCCCGATGGCGGCGGCCGGCGTCGCTGCGACTCGTGGGGGGCACTGGCGGGAGCGTGCCCTCCCTCCCGAGGCCGCCGCCGCCCCGCCGGTGCGGGAGTAGGGCCGTCCCCGCCCCTCGCCACGGTCCCGCGCCCCTCGCCGCCGCCCCCTCGCCTGACTCATCCGCCCGCGGTGGCCGCGCGCGCCGCTGCCCGAGCCCCCGCCGGGATGGGGAGGGAGACCGAGGCTGCCGGCGGCTGCGGAGCTTCCTGCTGATGACCCCGACCCTGCCGCCGCCGCCTCCTGCGCTCGTCTCCGGAGGCGCCAGACGTCCCAACAGCTCCCGGAGGGAGAGCCCGGAGAGGCGGCTGGACCTCCGAGTCCCCGCGCTCCGGACAGGTGAGGGGGAAGGAAGGGTGCGAGCGGCGTGGGGAGGCGGGCGGGCGATCGCGGCAGCCAAAACGGGGAGCTTCTTCCTCGCTCCCCCCTTCTCCCGCTCCAGCCTCCGGAGTTAGGGTAAACACCGTCTTCTGAAGTTTGGGAAATAAACCAAGTCCGCCATCAGTTCGGGACTCCCCAGTCCCTGGAGCGCAAGACAAGCCGCGGGAGCAGCCTCCGAGAGCGCGGAGCTCGGCGCGCCCGGGGGCTTTCTCCACGCTACACCCTCCTTTGTTTCCGTTCCGGAGTCAGCGTCCCCGGGAAGGTGTTCTCAGCGTTAATTGATAGCGGTCCTTGGCCCGAGCAAAGTGTGTTCAGGGGTCCCCAAAGCAGTATCGTGTGCGGTTAGTATGTACACAGGCAAAATGGAGAGGCGAAGCAGTTATTGCCAAATCCAGCGCTACTCTTCCTATAGAGTCTGTCCTTAATTAAGAGAAAGGGCTGAGGGTTTGCGAGATTTGCTTCATTAATCATTTTTTTAACTATAAGTAATTGTCCAAGCCAGTATTTCATACTGTACGGTTGTAAGCTTTCTCTGTGTTTTCTGCAGATTTAGATTGAGGGGTGTGTGTGTGTGTGTGTGTGTGTGTAATATTTGTAATGAAAACATTTCATTGTTCAGTACCAGGCAAATGCCAGAAAGTCACATGCTTCACATCAGTGTAATTTACTAGTTGAGGTCAACCCAGGTGCACCTTAATCTGGTGTACTTAATAACTAAGTAAAGTATGTTGACCTCTTTCCTTGTTTTTTTTCTGAAGTTGTTGTGGACAACTGAATATATTGAAAACATTTCATTTACGTTGGTGGTTTGTCATTATGGTAACACTTAATATATAAAATGGCATTCAGGTTATTTGGCTACTGATACTAAAATATATTACCATTTTGTGAAAAGTAGGCTAAATTTTGAAACTTCGTAAACCTTACTTTATTTTTCTGCTACTGTCTACTCATACAGAAGCATCTGTCCGTTGTTTCATGATTTTCAAACAGCTTAGGTGAAGAGTAAGTGTCTTCTAAACAAATTATTTCCATTACGTGGAAACTATAGTTAAATGCTTTAGCAACTTAATGTTATGGAATTTTTTTTTTTTTTTACTCTTTAAAATATATTCTGCCCCAGCCAGTTTGGCTCAGTGGATAGAGCGTCAGCCTGCAAACTGAAAGGTTCCAGGTTTGATTCCGGTCAAGGGCACATGCCCGGGTCGTGGGCTCGATTCCCAGTGGGGGACTTGCAGGAGGCAACCGATCCATGATTCTCTCTCCTTGTGGATGTTTCTATCTCTCTCTCCCTCTTCCTTCCTCTCTGAAATCAATAAAGATATATTAAAAAAATAAAAACACAACACAAATGTATAAGATATATTCTGAGGTGTTAAGAATGATTTGTTGAAGGAAGTCCCATTAGAGAGCCCATAACTGTGATGATTTGGCTATAATTTGTAACCTAGTTATGTATAGCTTTGTATCCTAGGCTAGGGAAGTCTTCAGTGAACCAGAGTTGTTTCGTGCAATTTTCAAGCAGTTGGCACAGGAAGGTTTTACCTGTTGCTTCTGTGTCAGGTCCAGGTAAATCCATGTAGCATCCCAAAGACATCTGTAATCAGAAGGGTTCTGCAGGCAAAATTGTTGTAAAGAAGGCTGCTGTACTTATTTTAACTCAGAGAAATTTGTAGTGAAGCTTTTAAATGCTCCAAGAGTTAGCTTGTGGTAGTTGGACTTGGTGTAGTGTCAGAATTTTGACAACAGCTCTTTGGGCAGAGGAAGGTAACTAGTGATTTATAGGGGGAGTGGATCTGAGTTGTTCGTTTATATTCTCTCATTCTCAGGATGACTCTCAGCTTAAAGGGAAATACATTCATCTTTAGCTTAGGAAAATAGATAAGAACAAGGATAAAAGCAGATGTCACTTTTTATAGTTCTTAAGAAAAATGAGTAGAAGATAAAATAATAAGCTCTCATGGCAATGCATATTACTTACCAAATAGAATGTAGAGTTTAAAAGCAGTTTAAATATAGATTTTATTTAATGTCACTGTCCTTAAATAGGAGACCGCATGGGGAGTCTGCATCAAGCAAAACACATCTGGAATGAGAACTTGTGTAGAGATGGAACAAACGAGCCCACAGTGAGATGGGCCCTTTATTTTATTAAGGAATACATGAACTGCAGTTTTACCGAGTGTATCCATTTCAGGACTTAAGGTCTGTTTTGTCTGCTGAGGTGTGATATGTGCCCAAGCCCCCAGAGAGCACAGATGAACACTTGTGTCATGCTAGCTGCTGGAGGGTAAGGCAGCTCCTGCTATGGGAGCTTCCAGGCCGATATAGAAGGGACTGGAAAAGGTGCCATGGATCACTGAGGACTTGGGGTGGTCCTTGAGATTCAGGGGTTGCCAAAGGCACTGTAAGAGGAATTGGAAAGACCAAGTCATCCTGACCAAGACACTGATTATGTGGCCCTGAATACATTCCTTGGCCTTTTTGGGTCTCTGCCCTCATCAACAGATCAAAGCCTTTGGACTGTGACCTTCCCATCCTCTTTTAAAAATACTGCATGATGAATCCTAAAGGAATTAAGGGGAGGGAGAAATCAGAATGTGGTGGGGTGGTGTTGTGCCATCAGTAGAGTTTGGGTTGGAGGGTGACAGGGAAAGGGAAATATGATAATATTAGGAGGTAAGGAGATCTGACCTGGGGCATCTGGCCCATCATGGATAGTCTATGTTCACAATACATAATAAAATAAGTACCATGCTCACTGAGTACTTGATGGTTTTCAGTGAATTTTCAGAAATAATGGCAATTGATTTTCACAACAACCCAAGAAGTAATTAGAGCAGAAAGGTGAGGAAATCAGGACTAACACTGCAAAGTGCCCTTGCACCAGTAAGCTCCATTGCCTTTCTGCAGGATTTGTAGAGATAAGAGAAGCTAGATAGGACGTGCTTTGGAAACCCTGTGGAAATGGGAAAGAGAGGGGAAGTTGGTATCAGATTTTTGCGGGTGTTCACATTTCTGAGTACAAATTTAGTTTACATTCTGGAAGAGAAGAGTCTCCAATCATGAGATAAAGACTTCCTGAAAAGTCTTGAGTTCTGATTGTTGATGTTTAGTCTGATGACTCCTGTCTGTGCTCCCTCTCACCTCACCTCCCTCTCATTCTCCGGCACTAATTCTGGGGATTTGATTATTGCAGAGTCATTGATAAGACTCTTCTAAGAGCTTTCAGTGCAACTGGTGACAGTGAATTCTCCTGTGAAGGTGTGGATTCTTGGACCATTGTGCTGTGAATTAATGGGATATGTTCCAGCAGCAGGTTGTGCTTTGGAAACTTTGTCACCAAAGGTGAAATTACACAGAAATCACAGGAATTACACAGGAATGTGAGCAAGGCGAGAAGATGTGAATCTCTGCATTCCTTCCTGTAGTATCTTTGTCATCAGCTCAAAGCATTAAGTGTACCAAAGGGGACAAGTCTCTCCTCACCCCCCGCCCCATGTTCCTGTGGAAGGGAGTTGGTCAGAATTCATCTGGTTATATACACGAGAGGAATGTCCCTTTAACCAGGTTAAGCAAAGAGGAAGATTTATTGGCTCATGTGACTGGAAAGTTCAAAGGTGGACTTTGCTTCAGTCATAACTGTTTGCCAGAGACACTACATCTTTGTCAGGGTTCTTTCTTTCTCCCCCTGCTTCTCGGCTCCTCTTCTCTCTCAGTAAACTTCATTCTGAGGCTCTCTTCCACGTGCTGAGAAAGATGACAGTCTGTAGTAACACACCTGCATCTCTAGGTCTTTGATCCATAAGAAATAGAGGTCTTGTCTCTTCTGGGTCCCATTTCTAGAAATCTGGAAGGGCTTGGATTGGCCCTGCTGTGGTGGTCATTGAATCAGTCTGTGTACAGCAGAGAGGAGTACCATGTGCCCAATACTGTGTGCATGAGATGCCAGTGGTGGGGTGGAGTGGAGGAGGCTGGTAGGGCACCATGATGGACAGTTCTGTCTAGTCACATAGAGGTGTGGTTCTCCCAAGCTAATGATGCTCTCTGCTGTTAAGGAGAATTGCTCCCTCTTTTAGGGGATAGTCCCCTGCACCATGATGTCACACAGGGAGACATCTCAGATGCCATGCAAATTCCAGAAGTGGACTTTGCTACGAGGACTGTGGTTCGTAGAATAAATATTGTACACGGAGCCGACCACGTACCTAGATCTGTGTACTTTTATCAAATACCCCTGTGCCTTATTTCCAGCCTAAGGATATTATTTACAGAAGCCCCGGTCATCTAGGGATCATGGGATTGGAGACCCCTGGTTTGGGCATTTTCAGTGAAAGTTTGAACAGGGAAGTGAAGTGATAAACACAGAACTATTGTTTATACAAATTCATTGGGTTTGTGGGAGATGGCTGGGCAGAGGGGAGACAGTAGGCTCAGGTTAGTGTTATCACTTAGGAGGCATAGGTGATAGGTCCCAAGTGAGAATATTGGCATATGTGGATGAGATAAGGAAAGTCTGGTGAGCTTGCATGTTAGGATGAGGGAGCATCTGTGTTGACCAAGCATTTGTGTGATGAAACAGATCAGGAGAGATGAGACCAAGTAAACAGGCTGGGCCAGTAGGTGAAATGGCAGCTGGATTGTGTAGAAAGGAAACCTGTGGCCACCAGGAGTCCTAGGGACAAAGCTTTTAGGTGTATAGCATTGCCATTTATTGAACACCTACCTACTATGCCAGGTCCTTATTGTTTTAAGTTCATTATATTAAATCTCACAATAGTCCTCTAAGGGAAGAAAATTGAAAGTTAGGAGGTAAATAACTTGTTCAAGGTTATGTGGTCCTTAAGTTGTAGAGCTGGGATTCAAACCCCTGCAGTCCGAAACAAAAGCCTCTCTTTAAGACACTGTGCCTCATGACCTCTCAAGCCCAAGATCAGAACCCAGGATAGCAGGCCACA